GGGGGGCTAACATGCGAATACCGAATTAGAGTTAAAATAGTTAACTAATCATGTGTGACTTTCAGAGTAAGGAACAGTTCAATCATGTACGAACACAAGCTGTCTGAAGTACAAACACAGGAAAATAAATTGCAAGTTTAGTAAGAAAAATAATCTTCACCAAACTAGTGTAAATTTCTCATGTATTTGTAACATTCATTAGCTTTACTCTACAAAAAACGGTTACACCAACAAGCTCGTGCAGTGCACAGATGCTGGCTAGTTTTCTTAATTGGGGTGAACTCATAATATGAATATCTTTGAATTAATTTTTTATACAAGTAAGATGGTCACTTGCATTCAACTTTGTTAAAAAAGATTATCACTTAAAACAAATAATTCTGGAAGACATCGGAAACTCGTTGCAATTGCAAACATCTTATATTGTGGGACGGAGGAAGTAGTTAACTGTACTGATAGAAAATAAAAGCAAAAATGAAAATCACTGAGCGTCTCATACATTTCCTTAAACAAACAAAGCGTACAGATAAATTAGGCAAGCCTTTGAAGCAGTAACCAATAAAATAATAAGACCACAAAATGATCTATAGCACGCTACAATACTAAGGTCCATCGGAGTTATTCCAAGGACTTGCCATGGCAAGAGAGTGAATGTGAGAGAAGCGTGCCAAGGAGCAGCATCCATGTGACCCAAAAACTTGCTTAGAGCACGGACTTTATGGTACAGTGTTTCAAGTCATAATATATAGACTTGTGCTTGATCATCTTGAAAGGAGCCTGACCTTCGTTGCAGCATCTCTCTACTTCCACACCAGTTAAGAAAATAAACTCCCCATCCATCATATCCATCATAATTTCCTCACCTGAAGAGCATGGGGAGTCTGGGCTAAATGTGTGCAGAATAGTCCTAAGGAGCGTGGCAATGCAAAACATGCCAGAGCCCAAGTTAACCAGATGGTTTTCAGATATCACCGTCTTCTTATCCTCAAACAGATCAAGATAATCCCAAGTATGCTGCAGTGTTGGTGGCTGCTCAGCGTCCATGGCAGAGAGGTCCAGGGCGCATAACCTGGGAGAGCCATTGCATTCTGAGAGGCCAAACCAGAGTTTGAGCTCAGGGACATACTCAGCTTTGCCATAGAAGGGTAGTACCCATTTGCCAACCTGTCTCCATACACGACTCACTGTGTCGAAGGTGTACGTGCCTATGACCTGATCCATAGATGATATGCAGATGGTGGAGCTGTCGACCACCATGTAGCAACACCTGTTGATGGTTCTTTGGAAGGAAGGATTGTGAGTGAGGAATGGCGGCGCCGGCAAAGTATGCCAGCCCCAACCATCGTCGCATCTAAGGACCTCGAAGCAGCTGCTGATGTTGGCGTCACGTGACAGGTCCATAACATAGAGAGATTGATCTTCTGTCCGGTCAACAAGATTGTCTTGGATCATGGGGAGGCTCATGCCAAAAGGAACCATGCATGAATTGATACGAGGGATGCTTGCAACAGTTCCCAGGTCAATGTTGTAGAGTATCGTCTTACTAAAGGAGTCACTGAAAACAATACTGTCTTTTCCAAGTAGAGAGAACGAATCCCTGTTCATACTACTATGTGTTAAACTAGACATGGGATGAAAATTGATTTCCGGCTTAGGCAGAACCGACAAGCGCTCTAGCATAGGTGGTTTGTTTTTCTCCGTTTTTGCTAGTGCTGCTTTTCGTGCTTCTGTTGACGGATAGAAGAGGTACTTTATGGGATCCAGGCGATGCAGCGAATACATGCGACGGCTCAAGTCCTGCACTATCAAATTCACAAACCGAGTATTCATCCTCTCCAAAGTCCAACTGATCGAATCTCTCCGACTAGTCTGACTAAAAAAAATGAGTATCAATTATTGAGACTGAGATATCCAATACTGTACAATTTAAGATTAAAGAAAAAACCTGCAGCAATCGCCTGCGTGCCTCCAATTCCTAATTATCCCTATACAGTTGTGAGCCGTCAATGATCTGAATCGCACAAATTCTACAAACCAACAAGGACGGAGGCTTTCGCTGAACAATACCTTACGCTGCTTTACCAGCGGAGGATCTAGTCGGATGCGCCTGGTGAGGGTGAGGAAGCGGCAAGCACAAGCGGGAGATTAGATCTGCTATTTTCGAGACGGCGAATAAGCGAAGAGTGCCAAGAAAGGCGGCGGAGGCGCAGTGAGATTATTCGGAAGGCTAGGTCACGCTGTTTCTCACTGCATTTATACATTGGAATTGGAGATACTGCTAGACCATGGGCCAGACGGTTTTGGACCCAATATTAAATAGGCTGGATAGGGCCAGACCGGTGGGTAAATCCAACGGCCGAGGCCTCTATCATGCCAAACCCCTCTGCGCCGAAAAATGCGAGAGCTCCTCCTTGGCGCCTTCAGCGCCCGCTTAGCATGGGCCTGGCCCAGTAGCGCACGCTCGCTCCCTCGATCGCTGGAAGCCGCCGCTCGCTCCATCGCTGAATCCCGCTCGACCATTTTTTTTTCATTCTAAAAACTGCTACAGTATAGAGTGTGTTTCTTAGAAAAATCGGTTTGCTACACTATGTACTCTTGTTCTTAGAAAAAGTTCTTCGAATTTGAAAAAGTTCGTGAACTTGAAAAAAAGTTCATTAAATTTGGGAAAAAGTTCATCGATTTTAAAATAAGTTCATTGAATTTCGAAAAAAGTTCATAGAATTTGAAAAAAGTTCGACAATTTGAAAATAAGTTCATTGAATTTGAAGTAGGTTCATCGAATCTGAAAAAAGTTCATCGATTTAGAAAAAAGTTCATCAAATTTGAAAAAAAAAGTTCATGGAATTTGTCAAAAAGTTCATTGAATCCGAGAAAAAAGTTCATCAATTTTGCAGAAAAAAATCATCATGAAGAAAACAAGTTTCACGAATTTGAAAAAGAAAGAAAGAAAGGGAAAGCAAAAAAGGAAAAGAAGAATATCAAGAAGATAAGACGAAACACCATGTATGCAATCAAACATGGTTATGTGGTCCAGTGGTTGTCTTGCCATACTATGAACTTCGTGGTCGACGGTTCGATACCCAGCTCTTGCACACTTTTTTGGAGTTTAGAAAAGAAAAAAAAACTAATACTGGGCCGGCCCAACGTGGCAAGGGGGGTATGCGCCCGTTAGCAGGAATGCCTGTAACGGGCCCTGAATAGGAACCAGCGGAAAATGCTCGCTGTGTCAAACGGAATATATCCTATTTGACGCTCTCTGCGTCAAGCTGTCGAGGCTTCGCATAAATCGAACCGTGAAATGGGCCAGCCCATTTACAGTGTCCGCGTTTCCGGTTTTGGGAATCTTCTAGAGTTTCCCAGCCGTTTTTTTCTGGTTTTGCGAAGCTTCTAGAAGGTTCCCTGAACCGGTTTTTTCCTTTTTTGGTTTTTGGCTTTCTTTTTTACGTTTTTCTGTTTATTTTCTACTTTATTTTCTCTTTTACTTTTCCTTTTCTGTTTCTTTTTTGTTTTTCAATTTAAAAAAAATGTTTATGTTTCGAAAATTGTTCGTAAACTTAAAAAAATTGTTCCCACTTTTAAAAACGTTCATTTTTTCAAAAATGGTCATGTTTTCCAAAATTATTCATAAATTCGAAAAATGTTTGCATTTTAAACAAAATGTTCTGAGATCTAAAAAATGTTCCCTTTCTAAAAAATGTTCGTATTTTCCCTTTTTTGTTTTTCCTTTTCACTTCGGAATTTTCCAAAAATGTTCTGACTTTCGAAATGTGTTCACTAATTTGAAAACAAATTATGTTTTTGAAAATTTGTTCGCAAACTCAAAATATGTTCAAGGAATTTGAAAAAATGTTCTCATTTCCAAATTTTGTTTTTATAAATTTGAAAATGTTCTGTAATTTCAAAAAAATGTTCCAGCCTTTTCAATTTTGTTCACATACTAAAAAAAATGTTCATCTTTTCTGAATTTTTGTAAAAATTGCGTCTTGAACAAATTGTTCGTAATTTCAGGAAATGTTAGTGTTTAGAAAAAAATGTTCAAGATTTCAAAAAATGTCCCTGCTTTCTAGAAAATGTTATAGTTTTTTGGAAAATTATTCACAAATTTTGGAAAGTGATTGTGTTTCAAAGAACATTCCGTTTTTTGAAAAAAGAAATTACTTTCAAAATTCCTAGAGTAATTCGGATCTGCAAAGCGTGTCTGGTTCTTTATATCTGACGCTAAGTTATGAGCACATCCGAGTACCAGGTCAGCTGGTAGGAACACATCATCTGGATCACTCGATTGTGTGTTCGAATCCCTGTCATCGAATTATTTTTTGAGCAATGCTCATTCGTGTCGATCGCCATCTTTGGGCCAGCCCAGTTGGGGACGTTACTGTGCAAAACCGCAAAAACTTGACGCAGAGAGCGTCCAATAGGAGGTCCCGCGTCAAACTGCCGGCGCTTCGCATAGGCGAGCGACCGAGCAGCGATGCAATGGGCCGGCCCGTTTAACCGTTCCAACGCCCCGGGTTCTGGGAACCTTCTAGCCCAGCTGGTTTTTTTTTTGGTTTTAGGAAATTTTTATAAGGTTCGTTGAATCGGTTTTCTTTTTATTCTGTTTTTCTTTTTTCTTTTCCTTTCTCTCATTATCCTCTTTCTGTTTTTTTCTTTTGTTTCTTTATTCTGTTTTTTCTATTTTCTATTTTATTTTATTTTCTTTCATTTTCCTTTTCATGTTTTATTTCTTTTGTTTCTATTTCGTTTTGTATTAATTTAAAATGTGTGCATAATTTATAAAAAATCATGGTATCAAAGTTTGTGCATAATTTGAATCTGTTCATGGTTTCAAAATTTGTTCACAATTCAAAAAAGTTTAGGGGTTTAGTATTTCTTCGCAATTTGAAAAATGTTCGCAATTTTATATTTTTTTCATGAATTTTGAAATTTCATCATATTTGAAAATTTGTTCCCAATTCAAAAAATGTTCGCGCTTTAGTGAAAAATGTTCAGAATTTTATAGTTTTCTTAATGAATTTGAAATTTGTTCATGTTCCAAAATTTGGTCACAATTCAAAAATGTTCACGGTTTTCAAAATTTGTTCGCAGATTCGAAAAATGTTCACAATGTTTTAATTTTGTTCACGAAGCTGAAATTTATTCATGTTTTAAAATTTTCACAGTTAGAAAAAAAATATGGTTTCAAAATTTGTTCAGAATTCGAAAAATGTCCAAATTTTATAATTTTGTTCATGATTTTTAAATTTGTTCATGTCTCAAAATATGTTCACAATTCGGTAAATGTTCGCAGTTTCCAAATTTGGTCGCAGATTCGAAAAATGTTCGCGCTTTTATAATTTTGTTCACGAATTTGAAATTTATTCATGTTTCTAAATTTGTTCACAATTAAAAAAATTGTTCACAATTCTGAACATTTACATCATGCCGCTGTAGTTTGTTTATTTATGATCCGCGTTGCATACCAGCATAGAATCATCTGGCGGAGTGGCTAGGTCATCAGGCGCATCGATGTGTTGGCTAGAGTTCGAATCCCGTTTCTAGCCCTTGATTTTTTGACGATTTTCTACCTCGTGAAGTGCCACTGCAATATGGACCGGCCCAAGTGAGCCGTGCCTTGTGCGAAATGACGGCTCTTTGAAGCAGAGAGCGTCACATAGGATCTCTCCTCTGCGCCCGTTAAAGTGCAAATCACAAATGGGCGGGCGCCCCTATGTCTCGCTTTAAGCGAGCACAGGGGCAGCCCAGCCGCGCAGGAGGTCGCAGCCTTTTTTTCAGTTCTTGTTTTCTACTTTATTTTTGTACTCTTCTTTTCTGCATATATAAACAAATAATTTTCAAAAACACATTTGAAAAATGTGGAAAGTATTCGAAAAATATTGAATAAGTCTAAAAAAATGTTGAACGAGTATTTCAAAAATGTTGAACAAGTACTGGAAATTTTTGAATAAGTATTAAAAATGTTGAACCAGTATTTGACAAATGTTGAATAAGTATTAAAAATTATTGAATGAGTATTTTAAAAATGCTGAACAAGTATTTGAAAATGTTGCATAAGTATTCAAAATGTTGAAAAAGTATTTCAAAATGTTGAACAAGTATTAGAAATTGTTGAATTTTTATTTTAAAAATGGTTAACAAGTATTTAAAAATATTGAATAAGTATTCGAAATGTTTAATAAGTATTTCAAAAATATTGAAATAGTATTAAAAATGTTGAATGAGTTTTTGAAAAATGTTGAACAAGTATTTAAAAAATATTGAATATGCTCTAAAATGTTGAACAAGTATTTGAAAATATTGAATAAGCGTTTGGAATGTTGAACGTGTATACAAAAATATTCATCACTTAATAAAAATGTTTTTGACACATACAAAAATTTAGAGTGAAAACGAAAACAAACATAAGAAAAAACAAAAAATGGAAAAAAAAAGAAGAAAACCAAACAAAAATGAAGAAGAAACTAAAGTCAAAAAACCAAAGATGAAGAAACAATGCAAAAAATGGAGAAGAAGAAAATAGAAGAAACAAAAGGAAAAGGTAGGAAAAAATGGCTCAAAAAAGTCTCAAGTAGGACGTGCCATATAAAGTTATGACTGGAGAGGTGTCTCGATCATGACTACATATTTCTCGAACCCATAGGGTCGCATGCCTAATGTTCGTTGACGCTAGAGTAGTATTAGGATATTTAATGAGTGTTAAACAAATATTGTTCGGAGTCCCGGATGAGATCCCGGACGTCACGAGGAGTCTTAGAATGGTCGAGAGGTGAATATTTATATATGGGAAGTCATATTTGGGTTCCAAAAAAAGGTGTAGTTTTTTCGGTATT